TTGCAATGACAGATACTGGGAGTTAGGACTTGGATATATCTTTTTCTGGGGGACACAAGTCAACTCACTATAGTATTATAGGATTTTTTTTTTTTTTTGGTATGCTTTAGTTTTTCTGAAAGTGGTTGAGATGTAAAATTCTGTGTGGTTGTATTAAGCGTTTATTCAAATTCAGCAATCATGCTTTGAATGCCTATGAGTTGCTGTGAAGAGATGGAGGAAAGATTAGGAGCCTGGCTCTGAGTTCTTAAATTATGGAAGATGCAGACATAAATACAACTAAATTTGAGTTGAAATTGATAATTACTATGGAATATCGGTACAAAGTTCCATTGAAATTTAGGGTAAGCCTAAGAAAGATACCAAGGAGAGACTTCATTGAAAGGGAATTCTATTTGAATTTGGCTTTGAAGGATGATAGGATCTTAAATGGCAAAAATTGGATAGTATAAGACATAGCATAAAATCAAGGAGGTGGAATTTTGCGGGAGGTGAGGTTGAAGGTATTGTTTAATAGTACTGTCTTGGAGAGTTAGGACATAAGTGTGATTATTAAGTAACATTTGAAACAGTATATGACTACAGGTATCAAAATATGTGCTGTATTGCTGGAGAAATGAGATTGATCTGGACTGCAATATTTGTTAGGTTTTACCTTGAAGGATGGGTTAGCTTGAATAGAGGCTAAGTGAGAGAAAATCTAGTTTCAACATGAAGGAGCAGAATAAGGTCTGGAGTTGAGAATGAGCACGTCACTCAATATTTGAGGACCTAGCATTTTCAAAGACATTACGGTGTCACCTCTTGTCTGTGGATTCAAGTGTTAAGTTGCATGCCATTCTGAGTAGCGTAATGAAATCTCACACTCATTGTCCCAACCTGGACAAGAGTCATCCCCTTGTCCCGCCTATCCATGCTGTATATGCTATCCACCATTAGACACTTAATCATCTTGGTTATCCTGTCAACTATTGCAGTATTGTAGTGCTTGTGTTCAGGTAACCCTTATTTTACTTTATAGTGACCCCAAGGTATAAGTGTAGAGATGATGGCAATTGGATATGCCAAAGATAAGTCATAAACTGAAAAGGTGAAGGTACTTGAGAAGAAAATTATATGCAGAGATTTACAAATCTTCATGAAATTGTGAAGGAAAAACATTTGTGCTAGTTTCAAGATGAAAAAGGCATTAACCCATTTATGCCTAGTGTTTTATTATTGGAATGCTAAGCTTATGGGAGTTATTTATATCCTGCTGCTCAACGTCATTGCCAAGGTCTGATTTTTCACAAATTTTGCAACCTCTGGCATAAATGGATTAAATTTGTGGGTGGAAGACATGGACAGAAAGAAATGTGCTCCAACTGACATCAGTGTGTTGCCCCGAAAGAACTGAGCCTATACCAACATTCAGCAAGGGATCCCCTGAAATGAGTGATACCAAGCCATTTGCTGCAAATAAGGGATGGTTACACAGATTCAAGAATGGGTTTGGACTGAAGTATTTAAGAATTACTGAAGAGGTTGTATCTGTTGATGAAGAAGCTGCTCCCTCATTTCCAACAGAGTTGAAGTTGATTAAGGAGAAAGGATACCATTCAAAGCAAGTTTTCAATTGCAGTATCAGGCTCTTGTGGAAGAAGATGGAGTCCAATAGAACTTACATTCATAAAAATGCAAATGCGGCGGCATCAGGGCTACAACATGGAAGAACGGATTAACTCTGGTACTATATGGCATTGCTGTAGGCCATATGATAAAGCTAGGTGTAGTGTATAGAGTGAAGAACCTACATGCTCTCGAAAACAAAAAATTATGTGTCCTGGCAACATAATCAGTGTGGGTGACAGCCATCTTTGTGGAATGGTTCCACCAATGCTTCATCCCAGAAGTGAAAAAATACTTGAAAGAGAAAGGGTTAGAATTTAAAGTATTAATAATGGACAATACATGAATCTGTCTGCTATGAAAATGAAAATGTTGAGGTGGCATTTTTACCTCCAGATAAAACCTTACTGCTTCAGTCCCTGACCAGGGCATCATTTGGTTTGTCAAGGCCACATACAACTGCCTGATATTTGAACACATTTGATCAGCAATTGCTGCAGACCCTAATATGTATATAATTCAGTGCTGGCAATCATTCACTATTGCTCATGCCATAATATTCATCAAAGCTGCAGTGGATGAATGAAAACCAGAAACAGGTAAATTCCTGCTGGAAGAATGTGGAATGATACCATAAATGATTTAAAGGCTTCCTAGGGACCCATGGCAATTTTAAATCATGTAGCAAGACAATCCTTCACAAAACTTGTGAAGGATTTGCTGACGTGCTTGATGAAGAGGAGCATATCAAAGGCCATCAAGAAGTGTTAACAAATTAGGAATTGGAAGAACTTGTTGAGTCATCTACAGAGAGAGAGGAGATAAAAAAACTGAAGCAGAATCGCCAACAGAGACATTAATTAAACTTGCCAAAGTATTTTGAATTGCACAGACATTAAAAACAGAATTATAGAATATGATCCTCAGATGGGACACAGCATTAAAGTCACCAATATGATCACCAAAGGATTATAATCTCTGCAGCAACACTTCGATGAGCTGAAAAGTGTCAACAACTTCTGGTTACAATATTCTTCCAAAATTTTTCAGCAGAAAGACCCCCAAAAGAGAAATCCTTCACCTATTGAGGATCCCCAACCATCAACATTGTCTGATCCTTAACCATCAACATTACCTTGGCTTAGTGATCCAGGATCACCCGAAGCTATTTTGATGATAATGTAGCCTAACTACATCACTTACACCTACATCAGTCACCGCATTTCATCTCTTCGTTTAGGCATTGTATGACATCCCACAGCCTCACAAGGGTGAGTACAAGATATTTTGAGAGAGAAACCACGTTTGCATAACTTTTATTACAATATATTATTGCAATTGTTCCGTTTCGTTAGCTATTGTTAATCTCTTAATGTGCCTAATTACAAATTAAACTTGATCATAATTATGTATGCATAGGGAAAAACAGGCTAGACATGGTGCCTCACGCCTGTAATCCCAGCACTTTGGGAAGCTGAGGCGGGCACATCACTTCAGCTTAGGAGTTCGAGACCAGCCTGGGCAACATGGCGAAAGTAATTAGTCATTCAGAAATATGTATATACCAACATACTAATATCTGTTTCAGCTATAAATACTTCTAACATTTCACATGTATCTTTATGTAATCACCACAATCAAACTACAGAACTTCTCTACCACAAGGCTCCCTTTATAGCCACATTCTCCTTCCCTTCAGTCCCAAGACCTGAACCAAGAATCTTGTTTCCCATCTCTATAGCTTTATTATTTAAGAATGTTACAAAAACAGAATCATACAGTGTGTAAAACTAGGATTGTCCCCCCAAACCACCCAAGCATAATTCCCTTGAGGTCCATCCAATTTGTTACATGTATCAGTAGTGTGTTCCTTCATATTACTCTTTAGTATTCTATGGTGTGGACATACTAAACCATTCATTCTCTTTTTGAAGGACATCAGGTTGTTTCTGGGTTTTGGCTATTGTAAATGAAGGTACTATGTAACATTTGTGAATGTTAAGTTTTAACTTCTCAAGGATAACTGTCAAGTAGTACAAATGCCAGGTTATATGTTAAATGCATGTTTAGTTTTATAAGAAACTGCCAAGAATATTTTCCACAGTGGCTCTACTATTTCATATCTCACCAGCAACGTATGAGTGGTCCACTTATCCAATTTCTCTTGCATCCTAGCAAAACAACTCTAAAATTTATCATTTGGAACTGTCTTTTCTTTCTGCAATGGTATTACTTGTCCTTTTAGAATTGAAATCAAGGGAAGAAAGGTTAGATTTACTCCAGCCTCCCATTTGATACTAGCCGTAGTTAACAATCTCCTTTACAACATGTGATCATTATTGCCACTTAACACTTCCAGGATTCGGGAGTAGTATCTTTCTTTCTGAGGGAGTTTATATCAGTTTGGATAACAGATTCTCATTGTTCATTTCACTGCTTTCCTATTTCTTCCTCATATTCTATAAAAGGCACAATAATAAATCTAAGCTTGTTAAAACAAACAAAAACAAGTACTAAAACAGGAGGGTTTTTGTAAAACTGTCAATTAGGATTTTAATTCATGGTCAGTGAAGACTTCCAGGATTTTCCCTGCGCTGCATTTTCTTGCCTTTTTCTTTCAGATGCAGGGATCCAGAGTCCATCTCCATGTGCCCTCTCTTATGTAACATCATCCTAGCTCCAGATTCTTTAATCGGTGTCCTTTCCCCAGACATACATTAGGTGTATGGCTCCAGGTTATGACAGCAGCCTTCCAGAAGCCTTAGACACCTGAAAGTGATAGCAGTGCAGAAGCAGAAAGGTGCCTAAGGATTTCTACCAGCTTGTGGTAGAAGAGTGGCTTGTCTGGATGGTTTGAGGGAAATGACCAAATAATAACCTACCTACACCAAGCATTGTACTTTCCTATATGCTATTTTAACAAGTTTTAAGGTGTTACTTAAAATATTTCTGAAAATGAAATAGCCTCAAAGGAGTTTTGATTTCACAAGATCACTAAGCAGATGATCCAAGGATAACTGACAAGATTCTATGTTGTGTTGGTTAAAAATTAAGAATCCTGAGCCATATTCCAGACCTAAATAATCAATTTCTGGGGTGAGGTAGGGGAGCAGGGTAAGTTCCCTGGGTGCTTATTTAGCAGGGTAAGTTCCCTGGGTCCAAACTTTAAGAACTGATTATCTTTCCTTTCATATAGTTGGAGCAAAAATTGTACCTTTTAGGAACAATGCATGTTTAGGCAGGTGAATAAGTACATATAGAAACAGAACTCCAATGCAAAGTAGAGTGATGTACAATAAGAGGTGTAGAGAGCTATGGGGTTTCAAAACAGGAGGAGAGAGCACATTATTAACTAAGATTGAGATGAAGGAAGGCTTTCAGGAGTAGACAGCATTTACAAATGACTGGTCATTTTCTTTGATAATTTTTATTATATACAGATCAGTACTCACAATACATTGCTTATTTAAGATGGCTGTTTACAAGTATAAAGCAGTTTGAGCAACACTGTGCATTATTATACTTCAGATGAAAAATCCTTACATGCTGAATCAATTTCTTTTAAAATTTCAGATAAAGAATTTTCATTTGAGGAGACATACAATTGTAAGTGCTCACTTTTTGTCAATTTTAAGACACCATTATGTTTAAGAAGGATTAATTTTACCATAAAATTACAAACACCCTCCATGTCTTGACATTCACATGAAAGAACAGCACAACATTAATCATCCAAATGCATATCAGAGCAAACTCTAGGCCTTAGTGTGAGGTGAACATGGTAACTGCTTACACTATGGAAATCGGTTGGGCCTTAGTTAAATATTGTAGTATTTTAAAAATTTGTATATTGAAAAAGACAAAATGAGCGGTTAGGTGATAAACAGCTTACTCAATTTAGCATAACTTTAATTTGGAAATGGAATAGTGAAATTAAAAAAAGCATATGAAGCAGATAAACAGTATGTCTTTAGAAATATTAAAGATTTTTACTCTGTTTACAAATTTTGCTTTTTTGGTTATGCCTCTTAAATATCTCAGTCTTTTTACTTTGTCTGTAAAAGTAATTGTCCTAAATATTCCTAAATTCTTCTCCAAATAAAGCCATTATCATTTTTATATAGTAAGAAGTTACTGAATCATAGGTTTGAGATCAGTGGCACAAATCATATATGTAGAAGATTATGTAACAAATTCATTGTTAGGTAAGGAGTCAGAGAGTACAGTACAGTAACAGCCATACAGGAGAGGTAGAATTCTTAATCACAGTTTTATAGAAAAGATGCAGTAGTTTATATATGTACCCTGCTTTATTATGGTACTGTAAATTTGCTTCTCATTACAAATTTAACAGGGCAAAAGGCAGGGCTATTCATAGGCAAGGATCTTATTGACCTTTGTTCTGCAGGTGTTGCAGAGGATACCCCTAGACACTTGAAGCATTTTCTTGGCCAATTAAGGTAATTGATCATATATGGCATTTACCTCATTTTTAAAAAGCTTGCATGTAGGGAAATCTAAGCTGCTCTTCTCCCAGGGGCCTAAGGAGGGAAATGTATCTCCTTTTATACTACTCTGAGTGCAAATGAAATCACTGTCTCTGGTTATCATTATTGCTTATCAAGAATTCCAGCATTACTAACCTGTTGAGGGGTTCTATACCCCAAATTTTGTTTGATTGTTTCTAACTCACAATGTAGTCATAAACAATGTTATAAGTGGGCATAACTTAAAAATTATAGTTCATTCATGATGAAGTTAAATTATTAGTACTTGAGTAAGATCCCCATAGACTTCAAAAAACTAGATGGCAGAGACTTTATTGTATATATGGATTATTCACATTTAGGTGTTTAAAACTTGGGAGTCTATGTTTCCAATCCTTACTTCAACGTCAATAAATAAAGTGTTCAGAAAGGCCATTTTATAAAAGTTATAATAAAAATTTTTAATAAATATGTACACCCAGTGCTAAATCTTACAGTAGGGCTTACATTTTATAAAATGTACCTGCTTACAAACAATAATTCAAACCAGAATTCTTGTTGAAAATAAAAGCCTACAGCCAAATAATTTCTTCCAGTTAACTGGAAATTAATCTCCTTTGATTTATGAGTAGGATGTCATGATGAGCCAATCAGATTCTAGATATTTATTTATAGTTCTACTTAAGTGAATTTTATTTTGGATTCGGTGTCCTCAAGTTTTTCTAAATTCTTTCTTGTCTCTGATAATTCTTAGAACTCAGAAAAGGAGCTATTTATTTATGGTAGGCCCAGATCATTTTAGCAATATTTCTTTCACAACTGCTGGTAATAATGAATTACCCAAGTCAGCAATGTTAAAATTAACATAACATGATTATTAATTGTTGACAGATATTAACTGTAGACAGATAATATTAAAAATAAACTTACTTTACCTCACATTTAATTTTTAAATCCTGCACTTTAAGGGTTAGAGAGAATGTGTCCCTATGGAGGAGGAAGCTTTTAAACTATATTCTTCATTTCAAAGAGAAAACATGTCCTAATTTTAATAAATATAACTTTGTGTTTTTAAGAATCGTGAAAATGTCAGCTTTTGGGAACGTAAGCTAAGTACAAAGACTAATACTTTCTGCTAATATGTTACACTGAAATATATTTGGTTATAAAAATCTCAAAAGCCTAATTGTATTTCAAAGCTATTATTCTATTTACATTGTAGGAGAGATGCATATGTAAATAGAGAAAAGTTGGGCTTTTGTAGTCTAAAGATTTATTCAATCCATAATTAGGTAATTCTCAGGTGATTTATAACTTAAAACTGAAAACTTCCACAGTTAATTTGTAACTGCTACATTTACAAAAAAAGTTCTGGGTAAGAGAACCTGTTAAAAACAGACTGGTGTTGCAATTAGGCCTAATACTCATTTATTTAAGTCACCTAAGACATTTGCAAAATTTTTCAAAGTTAGGAAAATGCAGTTATTAATATGGCTTCATTCAGTTAAACCTATATTCTGCAAAATATTCCTGTTACACACTTAAGTACAACTGGATCAGCAGGATTACTTGCACAGAAAGTGAAGGCTTAATTTTCACATTAAAATAATACCTGTTTCACACTTATATCTCAAAATATTTTGGAGAAGACCATTAATGGTCTTGACTGTAACAGTTTATTGCATTCTTATGCCTCATTTTTCAATGTTAAGTACTCTAGTTTGGAGTTTTAAGTTCTACTTTTCCTCTTATCTTCAAATAGACTCTTCAGCATATAAACTTGAATGGCTGACACCACCACCATGACCACTAAATTAACCATAGACCAGAAATTGACTCTATCAAAGTTGCTTTCTTGTATGTTTCGATCACGAGCTTCAAATGCTCTAAGCAGGGTTTGTATGTGCCCACTTTTGCTTAGTCTGGACTTGATGCTGTTGATGGATTCCTGGAGATAAATAAAATAATTTTATTATTAAAGAATGCTCAGAAATTTTAATTAAAAAATGAGGCTGGGTGCAGTGACTCATGCCTTGTAATCCTGGAACTTTGGGAGACTAGGGCAGGAGGACCCCTTGAGCCCAGGAGTTCAAGACTAGGCTGGACAACACGGAGAGACTCTGCGTCTACAAAAAGACGGGCATGGTAGCACCACCTGTGGTCCCAGCTACTTGGGAGGCTGAGGTGGGGGATCACTTGAGTCCAGGAGGTTGAGATTGCAATGAGCCATAATGGTGCCACTGCACTCCAGCCTAGGCAACAGAGTGAGTGAGACCCTGTCTCAAAAATATTTTTTTTCAAAATATGCTTTATGTTTTTTATCCAAACACAATTTTAAGATAGATGGCTGCACAATTGAGGGGCAGGTACTATTTATATTATATTAGAGATTCTCTGTAAGGTTATGTAATAATTCTCCTGACATATTTATACTGTTTATAAGTAGTTATTTAACAAGGGAACAAAGCTACTGTGAATTGAAAATAGGTAACAAACTGTTCTGAGTGGCATAGCATCAGGAGTTTTACATACATTATCTGTTTCTTAGCCCTCACACAACCAAAGGAAATGACTTAAGGTTTTGTTTTTTTTTTTGTCGGGGGGACGGAGTTCACCCAAGCACAATCTCAGCTCACTGCAACCTGAGACTGTGCCTGGCCAAATGATTAAGTTTTTAGAGATGGGGTCTTGCTATATAATAGCCCAGGCTGGAGTGTAGTATCTATTTATACCTGTGACCATGGTTCACTGCAGCCTCAAACTGGGCTCAAATGATCCTCCCCCTAACCTTCTGAGTAGCTGGGATTACAGGTACCTGCTACCATGCCTGGCAAATGATTTCCTTTTTGAAAACCCAACAGATACAACTTTAGGTATTTACCTATTACATGATGCATGTGTTTATATTTCCTTCTTTGTATGTTAATCTGACCAATTTAGTATTCAGTAAAACACCCAATGTTTTAATACCACAAAATAGTTGTGAAATTAGAAAACATTTTATTTTTCATGTGCCTTCTGTATAATCAGAAGCATAATCTATTTATAATTTTAAAAATTCTAACTGCACATTTATAAAACAAACTTACCAAGATGCAGTCTTAGTTGCACATCTGAAAAAAGCTATTTTTATAATAGGGTCCTAGAAGATAAGTTATTTGAAAACTATAAAAGGGCTATATGAATATAAAGTAAAATTAAGCTGATACTTGAAATGGAGGTCAAAGTATTTATGGCAAAAATAAAATATTAGAAACAGATTTTCCTGGATAATGCAGATAAAATGCTTAGTTCAGTAACCATTACCATACTAAGGGCTCTGGATGTTAATACTTTTTATTAGAAGACCATACTGACCAGGATGTCTTCCAGTTTCATATCCAACATATCTGTGCCAGTAATGTATTTCTTCCAATCTTCTTGTTCTTGTGCCTGTTCTCCCATATTATCCAGGATTAATTCAAAGAAAATCACCTTCTCAGAAATGGTGCTGAATGTATTGTCAAAGCAGAACATGTAATCACCAACTTCAGTCTCTACACTGTATTAAAAAAAGTACATGTTTTTAGTTACTTGTACTTCTGTTTGTGATGAAAAGCAACTAAAGGTAAAAGAAAGTAAAAGAAAGAACTAACAGGCTGAGTGTGGTTCCTCATGCCTGTAATCCCAGCATTTTGGTAGGGCAAGGCTGGTAGATCACTTTCGCTCAGGAGTTTGAGACCAGCCTGGATAACATGGCAAAATCCTGTCTCTACAAAAAAAATACAAACATTAGGGCATTGTGGCTGGCATCTGTAGTCCTAGCTACTCGGGATGCTGAGGCGGGAGGATTGCTTGAGCCCGGAAGGTTGAGGATGCAGTGAGGCATGATCATGCCACTGCACTCCAGCCTGGGCAACAGAGCAAGATCCTGTCTCAAGAGGTGCGGTGGCTCATGCCTGTAATCCCAGCACTTTGGGAGGCCGAAGTGGGTGGATCACGAGGTCAGGAGTTCAAGACCAGCCTGGCCAAGATGGTGAAACCCCGTCTCTACTAAAAATACAAAAAAATTAGCCGGGTGTGGTGGCATGCGCCTGTAATCCCAGCTACTCCGGAGGCTGAGGCAGAGAATTGCTTAAACCTGGAGGGGCAGAGGTTGCAGTGAACTGAGATTGTGCCACTGCACTCCAGCCTGGGCAACAGAGGGAGACTCTGTCTCAAAAAAATAAAAACAAACAAACAAAAAATTCAACAAAACAAAAACAAATAACATAGTTTATAATAATTGGACAGCTTACTCATGAATTTCCTTAGTATTGAAAGATAATTTATAATTTCTTGGGAATGAAGCAACCTGAAAATATATACGTTTGAGTACAACTTAGACATGCTTGGCATTTACTCAGTAAATTATGGTTAGTGACCTCATTTTTGGAAAAGGATAGAATTAAAAACCTGTATACATAACTCATAATAAACTTTAATATTTATACACTATTAAAAGTATTTTATCATGAGTTCAATTCATATGCAGGTATGACTGCCAACCTACCCTTCAATTGAGATTAATCTAAACTGAGTTTTGTTTTCAAAAGCAGTGATGGATTATCCTACATGTTTTCTTCCAGGCCTCTTACTGATTTTGCTTATTGACTATCACTGGTTCCCTTGTAGATGTTTATGTTTGATCCTAAATGCTTTGAGAATTAAATAAAACTAGTTTATATTTTATTAATTCTATAAGGGTAATTCAGCCCATCATTAGTTATGCCTAGTGCTGAAAAAAAAAATCAATAATATCTGAATGACAGTACCCTACTTAAAATTAGTTTCCCATATTAGCAAAAGTTAAAAGTAGGGCCAGGTACAGTGGCTCATACCTATAATCACACACTTTGGGAGTCTGAGGCAGGAGGATTACTGTAGGCCAGGGGTTCGAGATTAGCCTGGACAAAAGTGAGACCTTGTCTTTACAAAAAATTAAAAAATTAGCCAGGTTCACAATTGTAGTCCTAGCTACTCAGGAGGCTTGGTTGAGCCCAATAGTTTAGGCTGCAGTAAGCTATGGTCACACCATTACACTCTGGCCTGGGCAACAGAGTGAGACCTTGTCTTTAAAAAAAGAAATTACATTTAAAAGAAAAAAAGACTACTTAAGAAAAACCAGTGACATACTGAGATTTTTGCTGCTCTTACAAAATTAATATAGCTACAGATAAAAGCTTTGTTTAATGTTTGAAAAACAGATTTGTAGGCTGGGTGCAGTGGCTCACACCTGTAATCCTAGCACTTTGGGAGGCCGAGGCAGGTGGACCACGTGGTCAGGAGATCAAGACTAACTGGGCTAACACGGTGAAACCCTGTCTGTACTAAAAATACAAAAAATTAGCCGGGCATGGTGGCGGGTACCTATAGTCCCAGCTACTCGGGAGGCAGAGGCAGGAGAATGGTGTGAACCCAGGAGGCAGAGCTTGCAGTGAGCCGAGATCGCACCACTGCACTCCAGCCTGGGTGACAGAGCGAGACTCCATCTAAAAAAAAAAAAAAAATAGATTTGTAAATCTGGTGTAATGATTAAGAGTGAGTTGGACTGCCTGAATGTAGATCCTGGCTTTGCTGTTTACTAGCTGTGTAACCTTCAGGAACTTAATTGTTCTACGCCTCAGTTTCCCCATCGGTAAAATGATATTTACCTCAGGATTGTGGTTAAGAATAAAAAAAATTAGTACATGAAAAGTGCTGGTGCTGAGAACACTGGCCTGGCACATCAAAAGAATGCAATAAATGTGAACTATTATAAACTCAATTATTTTCTCCCAATTATTTAATGAGAGGTAATTCAACACAAGGAAGCAGTAAGATACTTATTTTTCTAACAGTGAATTTTATTATCTCAAAAAGGGAGCAAATAATTGGGGAGAAATAAAGATTGATATAAATTTTGAACATTTTAAAAATTCTGAAACTTGAACTACATTTTTAGTTTTTTGGTTTTTTTTTTTTTTTGAGATGGAGTCTCTGTCGCCAGGCTGCAGTACAGTGGTGTGATCTCGACTCACTGCAACCTCCGCTTCCGGGGTTCAAGCAATTCTACCTCAGCCTCCCAAGTAGCTGGGACTACAGGTGTGCGCCACCATGACCAGCTAATTTTTGTGTTTTTAGTAGAGACGGGGTTTCACCATATTGGCCAGGATGGTCTCAATCTCTTGACCTCGTGATCCACCCACCTGGGCCTCACCAAGTGCTGGGATTATAGGCGTGAGCCACCGTGCCAGGCCCATTTTTAGTTCTTATATATCTATCAAAGAGAAAACAGTTAATTCCAAGTATATCAATATAAACTGACTTTTACAATTACTATTTCTTTCGTATTTAGTAATAGCTTATGCAAATATTTTTCTGAACTCTGTATAGGTAAAATGCCATTTAAAAATGTATTTTAAATGAGTATCTTAAAAAATTACTGAGACTTTTTTCCTCTCATCCATTCATACATGTATTCAGTGTTTACTGAGTATCAATTATGTATCGGCACTTTGGTTAACAAAGACCAATAATTTTAATGGCTAGTTCTTACAATAGTGTTATGTGCCAGGGATGTTCTAAGCATATGGTAGAAAGCAAGAGTTTTGGTCCATCTTGTCTCCACCCTGCATGTGTATCCCTGCAGACTTATTTGACTTCTCTGAGTCTCCTTGTCTATAAAATGGGAATCTTGAGTCAAAGACTCTATCTCATAGTGGGTTGGAAAGATTAATTTAGAAGCATATAACATGCCAACCCTTGTTTAGAGCAAATACTAGATACTCCATATTTGTTCTTCCTACAGATTCACAGTTTAACACATTAACAATATTGACTTAAGAAAATGTTATAGTAAGATAATAGAATGGAACTGGGAAAAATACCAGTGAGATATGAAAAGAGGGAAGTGAGGTGTCAGAAGAATATATGGTCTTTTGCTTAATTCTGAACTCAAAGAGTTAAAACAAGTATTTTCTTTTGCTTTCAGGCTTTTTTTTTTCTTTTTTGAGACATAGTCTCGCTTTGTTGCCCAGGCTGGAGTGCAGTGGCACGATCTGGGCTCACTACAAGCTCCGCCTCCTGGGTTCACGCCATTCTCCTGCCTCAGTCTCCCAAATAGCTGGGACTACAGGTGCCCGCCACCATGCCTGGCTAAGTTTTTTGTATTTTTAGTAGAGATGGGGTTTCATCATAGCCAGGATGGTCTCGATCTCCTGACCTTGTGATCCGTCTGCCTCGGCCTCCCAAAGTGCTGGGATTACAGGTGTGAGCCACAGCGCCTGGCCTCAGGCCTTCTGATTATCTAAAACGAATGAGGTCTGAGTCAAAAAAAAAATTTACATACACACAAAAATATACTGTACTGTTGTTTTAAGAAAGAAACTATGAACAGAAATGGTATATAGCCAGCAGCTCAAGAAACTTTAAGACACATACCTGGAACAGTAGCTTTAAGTTAAAATAGAAAGCTTGTGCTGACCAGAAGGCAGGTTTAAAATGCCACAATAGACTGAATGCAATACCAGGGGAATCCTAATTTACTAACCAAAGCACAGAAAAAATTTAGCCTGGATCAAAAGAAAACACTTAAACGAAAATAGAAAGGTTAATGGAAAATGTTTTGGCTTATCAGATGGCCCACTATCATGAACTGTTTAAAATCATATGGAATTATCTAATATTGATATGTAGTATCAAATATGCTAACTTTCCATGCCCTGCAGATAGCCCACTGGTATTATTCAGCAATGAAACTGAACTAAAAGAGATTACTTACGTGTGAACTCCATCTGATTTTCTTTGTTCAAAAACTAAGGTTTTGCCTTCTGGAGAGGCAAGATGGAAATCAATATCTAATCCTGCTCCATCTAAAACCTGTAGAAAAACATACATGAGAAAAACATATATTACAAATTCTGGAAATAAAAAACTATATACAGTACATCATATTATGTAAAGATTTTCTAACCTAGAGAGGTAAGAAAGTCATCAGTGATGTCTGGGCTAGAAAAGAACCGAAGGATCATCTAGTTCAATTCCATTCATTTTTGGAACTTGTCCTTTCCTTACCCATTTCTCTCACCATCACCTAAATTTAGGCCTTACGGATATTACTGAAATAAATCTTCCTAAAATAGTGGTTTCATTCAGAATCCCTGTAGAATGGACAGAAACACAAAGGGCAGTTCAAATGCCCTGGGCCTTTTAGTTAAAACTTAGGCAATTGGCAGGGCACAGTGGCTAACACCTGTAATCTCAGCACTTTGGGAGGCTGAGGTGGGCGGATCATGAGGTCAGGAGTTCGAGACCAGCCTGACCAACATGGTGAAACCCTGTCTCTACTAAAAATAAAAAAATTCCAGCTACTCAGGAGGCTGAGGCGGGAGAATCGCTTGAACCCAGGAGGTGGAGGTTGCAGTGAACCGAGATCGTGCCACTGCACTGCAGTCTGGGTGACAGTGAGACTCGGTCCCCCCCTGCTCCAAAAAAAAAAAAAGACTTAGGCAATTTAGGACATTGTATATAACTTTCTTTCCTCTTCAATAAAAGAATAATTAACTATTTCTTAGCCTGGAATTCAAGACCACCACGGTGTGGACTCAGTATGAATTGTGTATTCGAAGCAGGTTGGTTCATGTACTAGTCAGTGAATACAATCTGTCCATTTATAATTCCAAAATGTCCTTCTATGAAGATGATGATGATAATCATGGCAACTAACAATTATAGTTGATGCCATAAATTGTCTTAAATGCTTTATGTGGATTAATTTATTCCTTATAACAACTCTAAAAGGTAGGTTCTATTATTCTCATTTTGTTCCTGAGGCACAGAGAAGTCATTTTTCCAAAGTGACACAGCATTAATTCATCTAGGCCACATTAAAAAAAATAAGTAAAAAATAAAGTGATACAGCAAATAAGTGACATGGTCAAAATTCGAACTCAGCAATCTGCCTCTAGAATAATTTTTAATAAGTATGCTGTGTTGCCTCTATTTCTGTTCCATTCTCCCGAATACTCATCCAATTGTACTCATTCTTTAAGAGCCAATTTAACACATTTATGCCTTGTGTTCCATTATTGGAACACTAAGCATGTGGCAGTTATATACTACCGCTCAAGGTCGTTGCCAAGGTCTCATTTTGCAATTCAAAAAATTGCAACCTCCTGTATAAATAGGTCAAGTCCTTTGAAGTGTCTTCTGTATCCTCCTGTCCAGTTCTCTCACACTGTCTCTTGTATTACTACAGATTGCACACCTATCCTCTTTGGCACTTACGAGACATTCTCTGGGATCTAAGCATCTTTTTGTAGGATTCACTTGGCATAAACTTGTAGGTACTTTTATGGACACATATGTGGCACATCCAACATAGATGATAAAATGGATGAAAATTCTGTTCACTATTTTTATAACTCCAAGGGTACCAGTCCTAACAATGTTATTATCCATATTTTGCTTTTGTGTCACAGATGCAAATATTTAATAAATACATCTTTTTATCATCCTACACAAATTAAAGTGTCTCAGTGTTTTCCCTGTAGATCTGTCTGCAAACTTGTCTTCCCGTCTTCCTCCTTCCCTATGTTTTCTCTTTATTTATAGTGTTTGTTAAAATTTTAAAAAGAATCTGTCTGGAACACTGTACAGTACAGCCTCTTAAGAAAAAAAAAGAAAAACAAAAACAAAAACACCTAACTCAATGGCTACTCTTTCTTAACATTTCATTTTATTTTTCTTGGTGGCTTTAATGTGACGATATAAAAGATTACCTACTCCTGTGCTCTTATTGTTCAACAGAACTGGTTTCAAACGGCTGGCTAAATATACATAATTTTCTTCTTTAAATCCCAGTGAAATGAAGAAGACATGTAACAATTAAAATCTATAGGCTGGGCGTGGTGGCTCATGTCTGTAATCCCAGCACTGGAAGGCCGAGGTGGGTGGATCATTTGAGGTCAGGAGTTTGAGATCAGCCTGGCCAACATGGCAAAACCCCATCTCTACTAAAAATAAAAAAATGAGCCAGGCATGGTGGCACATGCCTGTAACCCCAGCAACTTGGGAAGCTGAGGCAAGAGAACTGCTTGAACCCAGGAGGCGGAGGTTGCAGTGAGCAGAGATCATGCCACTGTACTTTAGCCTGGGCAAAAGAATAAGTGAGATTCCACGTCAAACAAAAAAAACCCACAAAGAAGAAAAATTCCTGTTTCAAAAGATGAAAATCCATAAAAATCTTTAGACAGGATCTAATAGATGTGAAGCAGGATAAATGAAAAAAGACTATAAGATACTGAGTTTTCCAAAGGATTTAAAAAGTACAACCTTCTATCAGAAGTAGCAGAAGTAGTAGAGAACTGCATCTAATTGGGATTAGCATCAGAATTCTTATATATAACATTAGATGGAAAAAAATAATGGAGCCATGTAGTCAATGTTCCCAAGTAAAAAGATATTTGCCAGGTGTGGTAGCATGCACTGGTAATCTCAGCTACTTACTTGGGAGACTGAGGTGGGAGGATCACTTGAGGCTAGGAGTTAAAGTCTGTAGTGTGTACTATGAAAGTGCCTGTGAATAGTCACTGCACTCCAGCCTGAGCAATACAGTGAAACCCCATCTCTAAAAATTTTAAAATAAATAAATAAAGCTATTTTCAGATATCCAAGGACTCAAAACATTCTCAAAGAATTACTCAAGGATACCCTCCAAAAACAAACAAGCAAAATCTATTAAATCAGAAAACAAGCAATGTAACAAAGCTAAGAAAATATTTTAGTAAAACAAAGTTAAAAAGCAGTTATTGGTAGTAGCTGTCAGGCTTAATGAAATTGTTAAAAATGATTTTTAAGACTATGGAAGCTTAATTAAAAAATCATAAAATATACTTTTTTTTTTTTGAGACAGAGTCTCGATGCCCAGGCTGGAGTACAGTGGTGCGATCTCAGCTTGTTGTAACCTCTGGCTCTCGTGTTCAAATGATTCTCCTGCCTCAGCTTCCTGAGTAGCTGGGATTACAGGCATGCGCCACCATACCCGGCTATTTTTGTATTTTGTAGAGACGGGGTTTCACCATGTTGGCCAGGCTGGTCTCAGAACTCCTGACGTCAAGTGATTCACCCACCTCAGCCTCCCAAAGTGCTGGGATTATAGGTGTGAGCCACTGTGCGTGGCCATAAAATATACTTTTAAAATACAAAATAAATATTAAAAATACCACAATCTGGGCCAGGCATGGTGGCTTACTCCTGTAAGTGATCCGCCCACCTTACTTTGGGAGGCTGAGGTGGGCGGATCACTTGAGGTCAGTGGTTCAAGACCAGCCTGGGCAACATGGTGAAACCCTGTCTCTACTAAAAAAAAATTAAAAAATTAGCTGGACGTGGTGATCTGTGCCTGTAATCTCAGGTACCTGAGAGGCTGAGGCAGGAGAATCGCTTGAGCCCGGAAGGCAGAGGTTGCAGTGAGCCAAGATCACGCCACTGCACTCTAGCCTGTGCCACAGAGCGAGACTCCATCTAAAAAAAAAAAGCCATAATCTGAAACAAAAATTCCAGTTTATTTCAATGGAACATGATGGGGATAATAGTAAAACTGTTACAAGTTCGGTTAAAAGAAAACATACACATTAATTTCGATGCTGACAAATGGATGCTTAAACATTAAATAGAAGGACATCCAATTTGGCAATATACAGATAACCAAAAAGTCCTCCCAGTATAAAACCCCCTGGAAATGCTGGATTATATTTTGAAAACAATCTTTGCAACTACATGGTGAGGGCAAAGAAAAAAAAAAGACATGAAAGCTAGAGTGGTAAGTGGTAGTCTGTGAAGGGGGTTAACTTGTCAGTTACCTGGAAGCTTGAGATTTAATATCCCCATGAGGACAGGTCATGAAGCTCTGGGGCTGAATTATGTAAGGAGCAGGAACTAAGAACTATGCATAAAGCTAGGATCTTTGAGGGGTCATACTCAAAGGGTTAAAATTTTAAAAAAGTCCACCAGTACACAGAGATCACAAGAAAGCTTGTCTGTCTTGGCCTCAAGTCATATGTGAAAAAATAATATAAGCTCACCAGACAATTCATCTATAAGCTTACACATCAAGCAATTTTGTAGTTCACAGTTTCACTACCCACGTGTTCACAGACTCAATCAGAGAACAATATAAAATGTAGTCCTCTATCGTGGAATGCCTGGGAGGAGGAAACGCAAAACCTTTCTGGAGGGTCATATTATCCTAGATTCACACAGGATATAGCCCCATTAGGCATGGGTTTGATGGGTAGCTTCTGACATGGCTCTCAATGATCCCTGCCTTTCTGGTATTCATACACTTGTGTAATAAATACAACATGGCAAAAGTGATGGGATGTCCCTTTCATAATCAGGTTGCTAAAGATTATAACTTCCGTCTTGCTGCTTGTTCTCTCTTGCTGGCACTTTCTCTTGCCCTCTTACTCGCTCTGATGAAGCAAAACCTCCATGTTGTAAGACGCTTTACAGAGAGGCTCATGTGGCAAGAAACAAGGAAGGCCTCTGGCCAACAGCTTGTAGGGAACTGAAGCCTAAGTCCAACAACTAGTAAGGAATTGAATCCTGTCAATAACCATGAGTGAGTTTGGACCCTTCCCAACTGAGCCTAAGATGACCGCAGTCCTGTGAGAGATCCAGAGTAGAAGACCCAGTTAAGCAGTGACCAGAGCCTAAGATGACCGCAGTCCTGTGAGAGATCCAGAGTAGAAGACCCAGTTAAGCAGTGACCAGATTTTCCTGACCGGCAGAAACTAAAGCTAGTAAATGTTTTAAGCCAGTAAATTTTGTGGTTGATTAGTTTTTTATCAATAGATAACTAATGGTTCTACATAAGA